ACCTCATAGTGACCTTCCAGTGCCTGAAGGGGCCACAGGAAAGCTGGGGAGGGATTTTTTACAAGGGCTTGTAGTGAGAGGACAAGGAGTATTGGATTAAAACTGGAAGAGGGAACATTTAGATTAGATATTAGGAGGAAATTCTTTATAATGATGGTGGTGAAGCACTGGAACAGGTTGGCCAGGAGGTGGTCCAATCCCTGGAAACATTCAAGGTCAAGTTTCACCAGGCTCTAAGCAACCTGACCTGGTTAAAAAGGTCTCTGTGAACTGCAGGGGGAGCTGGACTAAATGAACTTGAAAGGTCCCTTCCAACCCCACACATTCTGTCATTCTATGGCACAAGGTGTGTTTAGAAGCCTTGCTTCATGGGACAGTGGAGGTGGTGCTCAGTGCCTTGGAAAGCTAGGATGAGCCATGGTAGAACATGGCTGTAAGCTTTACAAAAGCCTTGATTTTCCAGTAGCGGTGCTAAGTGCAGACATCAGAGATAAGAACCACAAGGGAAAGAAGGCTCTCCTAGGCACCAGAGCTCATGTCTCACAGAGCTGTGTTTCACTGGGTAGGCTACAGCTTATCAGTGACACATCTCAACTTCAAGATACAGAAAGCAAACGTAGGAGGCAGCTTTGGGTAACTGCCTTCACTGCCCATTGCTCAAGTGATTGCTCTGTTTATTGTGAGGAGTCTGCTGCCCATCAGGCACCTTCAGGAGAGGATTCTCCCACCAGCAAATTAATTTGTCCTGTGCTGTTTGATTTTAGCTTGCACATGCAAACCACAAGCAGCCAACTTCTCTAGGAAAATGCTGTGGGAAATCTTGTCAAAGGCCTACATTCTGATGTGAGGATATCACTGTTTACATACTTATGATAAAGAAAAGTCATACACTTCACTTCGTAAGTGATAGCTATTTTGAATTCTGTGTAACTGTATCTCAAACACACATGATGATTTTATAAACTGCTTGCTTACACTTGGAATGCATTTTATAAGAGCCCTGCCACTTATGTTACAAAAGTAACTCTATAGGATGTCTTCTCCAGCTAGAGAAAAAGCAGGTTGTGCTCATGCTGATGGTTCCTACCATTATACAATCTGTGGGAATGGCTCATGTTTCACTCAAGTTTATCCCTTTTCTGTTTACTTGGAGGAGCACTGAAAGCTTTTCAGAAATTCTTCCATATTTTTTTTTTTGGTAAGGGGCTAATTCTTGTATAGATTTTTATCATGGCTTCTTTCTAAAGATAGATATATGGGCCTCTAAAGAGTAGCTCAATAAATAAAAAAATACCAGAGTGGTTTGTCTAAAGAATATCCCCAAACATAATGTTCTTGGGGTTTTAGGTGTCTCTTTTACCCTTCCATAAATCTAGCTCCATTCTGAAATCATTCAGATTCATGTATTTTGCAAAGTAAGCCATTTTGAAGGTAAATATTTGGATTTTGCTTTTATTTCTCATACTTAGATGTTGGGCAGATTGCCCTTTTCAATCATTGAAAAGAAGCCTTCTCAAGAAAACATTTCAGTCTCTCTCCTGACTCATCCACGGAAAGACAGGATTCCCTAATTGTTGGCATGGAACAGGGGTTGGGTGAAAACCTTTTTTTCCTTGCTTTTAGTGACCTGTAACATCAAATCAGAGTGCAGGCCTTAATCTGATTCTGAGTTACTACATGCAAAGTTGACCTTGAAAGTGCTGAAGTCAAAGTAGTGCTGGCAGTAAAAATCATTGGGTTTTTTCATAATCCTAGGACATTTTTATGACAGTTGGTTAACTGTGGCTATAAAGCATAAAAAATGTCTCTTTCCAGTTTAGAAATCTGCTGGTTTTACATATGAAGGAAAAGTATTTGTAAACAGTTTTTAATTCTCTGCAGAAGTAATTTCTAATCATCATTTTGAATGGATTATAAGTGTTTTTTTTTTTTTTTTTGCTAAAATGTGTGTACACCATAGAGAAGTGCAATTGTAGACAAAGTGGTGGCCAAAGGGATGTCTGGGTCCCTGCATACAGTCTTCTATTGCTTGTCCCTTATTATTTCTGCTCATAGTCTTGACTATGACAACGACTTGGTTGTCTCAATGACACTCTAACAGAGTCTCTTAATTGTGTCCATTTTGCTTCTGTCTGTTTAAGGTTCTTTATTCATGTAAGATAGAGTGATGCTTGTAATGCTGGTAGCAGAACTCTTGCTAGTCTTCATCCCCTGTTTGTTTAGAACAAGTGTATGATTTACTGCAAAACCTTCCCAACATCTCTCAAGTGTTTGCTGATGGATGGGCTGGCCTGAGAAGTCCCAGCTCATCATTCACAAGTCACAACATAATTCAGAAAAGAAACTTCTGTTGTCAACATGCAGCAGTGACTTGGGTTAAACTGTAGCTTCTAACTTGAAAACAGACCCACCACCCTGAGCAGGATGGCTCTGTGGAGGCAAAGTGGGAAGGGCATTTACACATGGCCATTTCTTGCTTGTCCTGAAGAAAAATCACTCACCCTAAATGAATCATAACCTGCCATCTGGTTCTGCTTGCCTTGGTTTCCTCTTTCCCATCATTTCTTGTTTTTTTTTAAGCAGAACACC